GCCATCAGCAGGCTTCGGACGATACAGTGCACTGGGAGTGCCAAGAAACTGACTGTCATCAAATGTCTGAACAAAATCAGAATCATCAAGTGCATAATCATAATCTTCCAAAGCATCAAGCTCAGCACTCTCAAGAAAAGGCGTGACTTCCGCATCGTTGTGGGCACCTTCATGCACTTGCACAGGGGCGCTGTGAGGCCCAGCATTCACAGCATTGATACGTGGCACTTTATGCGTAGCCTCCTTTGCAGATTTAGCAGGGCGCTCCTCAACATGCGCTTCGCCTGCTGCTGACGCAGAGCTGTGTGCCCCGCCAGGCTCGCCATCATGGCCATGCTTCACACCACGGCCTGAGGCATCATCATGAAGGCTGCCTGCCGCGCTTGCGGCACCACTCATGCTTTGCTGGGAACCTTCACCATTTGCACTGGAAGTCAGGTCAGGGCTATACAGCTCAGACCTTTGCTCATCACCGCCATCATCATTTCCATCATCCTGCTCATCCCCGCCAGCGCTGATGAGAGGGGTCACAGGTCCAACACCATCATTGGCAACAACAACTGCACCAGTATCTGTCACTTCTTTGGTGCGTTGAGAAGCAGACTTACCCACAGTTCCAGCCAGCAGACCTGGATGTTGCCAGCTGTGATCACGCACTGAGTCATGCAAGCTGGCATCGTACTGAGGGGCCAACAGCCTGACGGACCTGGTGAGGAGCAATCTGCCCCCAGCTGTGCACGTGATGTGCTGGTCGCTGGTCGCGCTTTTACCCAACCATATGGACTTAACCCAGCTCGGACGACCCTTGCCCCGGCGGTGCCACGGGCCAAACTCAGCACTGCCATGCCGAATCTGCAAATCTTGCCTCGGTAAGTTGTGTTCATGATATCTTCAAACGGTGTCGTTCCTGAGCGCGCTTGGCCAAAGCGATTCAGCAACCATGAAGCATGTCTCATTGACCATGAGTGCAGCGGGTGCGTCGTGTGCACCGTTTTGCCGCTGCGTACTTCGTACTGCGAAAGCAGCACACCAGCCTGGAGCCTTGTTTGATGCACCGCAGCTTCGGCCCCGCCGTTGCTTTGGTGCTCTCCTTCCGCAACTTGATCAAACAGAGTGCGATGGCCAAACTTGGAACGACGCTTCACGATTTCATCCCGAAGTGAAAGACATGTCCCTTCTGGGTCACAGCGCAACTTTACAGTTCCATAACCAAGCATGTTCAGCAGCCTTGTGACCTCGGAGGCCAAGTAGGAACGGGAGGTAGCACCTCCTTTGCGCGCTGAAGGGATCGATTCCCTCCATCCAGAAAAGCTGTCTCTGACAACGAGTGTCACAAGCTTGTCTTTGCCACCTTCTTCTCTCCCTGTGAAAGAGAAATCGAAAGAGATGACTGGCACTCCATGCTGCGACACGTCAGAGGCCTTGTGCGCATCAGACCGGCTCTTGTGCTCTTGACAAAACGCGCACCAGGGCCTAAACGGCAAGTGCGTTAGCTCGTGCAATCTACGTTCCTCGTCCGATGGTTCAGCCACCGGCTTGACCTCATTGGGAACCGGTGCAGCGGGGTGCTCAGCAATACGCTGCTGAATTTCATAGCGCTTCACAAAGTTGTACAGCCTTTGGTACACAGTGGCTTTCCCCCCTGACTTGCCTATGCCGGCCAACGTACATGCCTCTCTGAGAGTCTTGAGAGAATCAGTGGGACG